AAAACACAACCGCCCCCCTCCCCAAATTTTCTGTGTCGAGATGGGATCTTGCTAGGTTGTCCACACTGATCTCACACTCCTGGCCTTAAGTGATCCACTTGCCTCAGCCTCCCAAAGTACTGGGATTACAGATATAAGCCACCACACCTGGCCCCCTCTTCTCTCACCTATCAGGTGTTATGATGAAGGTAAGATTCACTCTCTAATCCACCTTGCTGTGGGCTATAAGACATGTATGCAGCTGCCCAATGTCATCGTTATCTGGAAGCTGGATTTTGTTCTTCCATTCTCCAGCAGTTCCCCTTCCTATAATCCTGTTCTGGGTGAACTGTATTACACAAGCGCCCCAGCCTGACCCCTCAGAAGCATCACTGACTATCCACTTCCATTCCATGTGCTTCTGAGTGGTTCTCAATTCAGTTCAGACTTCATCCTCTTTCACTTGCACAAATCAGTAGCTCTCCCTTGCCTCCAATTTAACCCAACTCCCATAGGAACTCCATACTCCTCCAAAGTCATCTAAAATGCATACATAACCATATCACTCCCTTGCTTAACAACCATTGCTTTCCCTGCTTAACTCATAAAGAATCAACTCTAAATTTTTTAGTGTGGCTAAGGACATCAAAAGCCCTTTGTGATTTGGCTCCTACCTCTATTTCTACCCTTAGTCATAGTCATTAGTCCAGGCGTCTTCAAACTATGGCCCACAGGCCACATACAGCCCACCTAGGACATTTATCTGGCCCGCCGGATGTTTTTGCCGCCGCTGCCTGTCCTGCTTAGCAGCCGACTTGTCCCAGGGCCTGCAGTCCGGTCCTCCAACGGTCTGAGGGACAGTGAACTGGCCCCGTTTAAAAAGTTTGAGGACCCCTGCCTAGTCCATCACCACCTTTTTATCGTCATCGAGTTTAAAATTCCCATAATACAGTATGTCCCTTCATACCTACATGGCATTTTTGTGGCTCTTTCCTCTACTTAAAATGATCTTCCCGGCCAGTCAAGGTAGCTCATGTCTATAACCCTAGCATTCTTGGGAGGCTGAGGTGGGAGGACCTCCTTAGCTCAGGCATTCAAGACCAGCCTGAAAAAGAGTGACCCTCTCTAATAAAAATAGAAAAAATTAGCTGGGCATTGTAGCATGTGTCTATAGTCCCAGCTACTTAGGAAGTTGAGGTATAAGGATCGCTTGAGCCCAGATTGATATGAGCTATGACACCATGGCACTCTAGTCTGGGCAACAGAGTGAACTCCATCTCGGAAAAGAAAAATAATCTTCCTTCTCATTGTCTGATCATCCTGCTCTTTAAGATGTAACTTAAACATCATCCCTGGTAAACATTCCCTAAATTCCAGTGGCAGTCCATTGCTTTCTCCTCTGTATTCTCAAAGCCTTTTAGTTATTGTCTCATAACCAAACAAACTTGTATACGTAGAAAACAATATGGCAAAATGGGACATTTATAATGGATTAATTCAAACCAGAATGTCTAACTGAGGCTGAATGCAGTGGCTCACACCTGTAACCCTGGCACTCTGAGAGACCGAGGTGGGTGGACTGTTTGAGTTCATGAGTTCCAGACCAGCCTGAGCAAGAGGAAGACCTTGTCTGTACTACAAATACAAAAACTAGCCAGGCATTGTGGCAAGTTCATGTAGTCCCAGCTACTTAGGAGACTGAGGCAATAGAATCACTTGAGCCCAAGAGTTTGAGGTTGCCGTGAGCTATGACACCACAGCAGTCTACCAAGAACATCTAAGTGAGAGTCTGTCACAAAAAAAAAATAAAAAATAAGAAAGAATGTATAACTGATTGTATGTTTTACTTACTTTTGTGGAGTCAAAAGCAGCAAATCCCATTAACTTCATCATTTCTATTTCTTCTTCTGTTTTGCCCTCTAAGTCTTCCTCTGCAAAAATAAATGAGAATTTTTGGAATTCTATCATTTTATATATACGTAAATAAAAAGAGAGGTGGCAACAGACTAATAGTCATTCTACCTCCTCAACAGCAGAGAATTAACATAGAACAGTTAGCTAAGCTGGGCTCAATAGCTTGTGCCTACAGTCCTAGCTACTCAGGAGGTGCAGGCTGAGGCAAGAGGAATGCTTGAGCCCAAGAGTCTGAGACTAGCCAGGGCAAAATAGCAAGACTCCTGCCTCTAAAATAATAATAATAATAATAAAGTAAAAGAATAAAGTAAGGAAAAGACCAATTATCTAAAGACAAGTGTAATGAAAACATTCTTTTTAAATTTGGACAAAATGTAACTTATGATGTGAGAAAAAATGTGCTCTCTTTGGAGCATTAGATAGGAATACCTTTAGTATGACATGTGACACCATCTATCTAGGTCTGAAGATACTTCCAAAATAGAATATTCTCATGTTTTTAACAATAGTTCCTGATTTTATCAGGAGCACCAGCAACTCACTAAGGTGTAATTAAAACAAAATATCAAAACAGTATCTAATGAACACTATAAAAAGCTTAATAGTTATATGTTCAAAAATTAAACTTTTTTTTT